GAAACAGAAACAGCGCATCTCAAAGGTGTGGTTCCGAAGAACCACATCAACTCTGACCCCAGAGGGCCAGTATGAGAAGACAAAACCCGTCCACTCCAGCCACCGAAGGCACAGAGTGGACGCCTCCAGGGGGTTCCTCACACGGGCCCCGGCACGCCGCGTGGGCTCACGGGGAGCCTGAACACAGACGACGGAGCGGACGCCAGAACGTGGTGGCCGTGCTTTCCTCACTGTTTCTTCCCCACGTTGGGCGGTGTGCAAAGTGTCCCCAACCCCTTCACTATAAGTGTGACTCTTCCCTGAAGCTCTGCTTCCTAAATGTCAGGGTTTCTCGGGGTGTGGGACGCGTGGGTGGGTGGGGGGTAGTGCGTGGCGCGTTTTAAGGCGGCCCCCAAACACGTGCGTGTGAAGCAGCTGTCCCAGCAGACCTCGTGAGAGGAGAGATGAGAGTCCGGATAGGAAGGCTAGCACGGGGGCCACGCCGAAGCTGCCCTGTGCCAGACACACGTGGTCACCTATGTCTACTGTCCCCGCGGCAGTCACAGCGACACACTCTCGACATGGCTTCCACAACCAGCCGCGCTCTGCCATCAGGTCTGATGGACGCGCACTTGCTGGACGGCCAGGCGCTGCACACGGGCCCAGTGTCTGTTCCTCACTCTGCAAACAGCCACGGCGCGTGCCAGACACCGGGCTACGCTCTTCCTTCGAGAGACAAACCAATGAGTCGGGGCGCGCTCTCACAGAGCGTCCCGGAGGCCCGGCAAACAGACACACAGATGTACGCGTACGGCACTGCACTGGGCAGGTCCGCAAGGGCGCGGGATGGGCGGCACGCAGGCAGGCTCTATGCAAACACTGTCCCTGCAGACAAAAAGTTACCAGTTGCCAAGGGGTCCTAGAAACTCCTTTCTGCACCGGGCACCCAGGCCCTGACCGAGGCTCCGGTTTGAGAGAAGAGTAGGAGGCGGTTAAACTGTTAACACGAGCCGGAGACGAGGGACGAGGACGCTCTTTCTGATGCTGGGCCGGGTGGGCGGATGGACACGCACGGAAGGTGGGAGCAAAGGCAGGTTTGTTCCTGAGAGAGATTATCCCAGCCACAGAGGAGGGAACAAGGAAGCCAGGTTTGTGTTGAAAACTACGAAGCAACAAGCCGACCTGTGCGGTCACTAACTGTGGAGAGGTGAACCCTGAGAAAGGAGGAGCGGTGGGGGGGGGGGGGGGCCTGAGCCAGACCCAATGACCACGGCGGAAGAGCCCCATCGCTTTTCACGTGGGGTCACACTCACCGCACAAATTTCAGGGGAGACGCTGCATTCATTCCCGTTTTTTGAAAAGAACACTGCCCCACACAGCGGATCCGCCAACGTGTCCCCGCGGATCCCAGGGCGGCCTGCGTGCAAGGTTAGGGGAGGCAGCAGACCGATGGATTTGTAAAAATTGATTAAATCAGCCCCGGCTGGCGTAGCTCAGTGGACTGAGCATGGGCTGCGAACCAAAGCGTCACAGGTTCGATTCCCAGTCAGGGCACATGCCTGGGTTGCAGGCCATGGCCCCCAGCAACCGCACATTGATGTCTCTCTCTCTCTTTCTCCTTCCCTTCCCTCTCTAAAAATAAATAAAATCTTTAAAAAAATAAAATAAAAATAAAAATTGATTAAATCTACTGAAAAGCAACAGGTGACAATCCAGACTCTGGAGTCCGGCCACTCTGGGCACGCTCCTCCACTTCCCCTGCCTCAGCGTCTCCACGCACAACATGAAGACGGACTTTCCCTGCCTCTCACATGATCGGCCCACGTAGAATCCCCCAGCCGTGCGTGGCACCACGTGCTGTGTACGCCTGCTGCTGCTGCTGCTGCTGCTGCTGCCGCCGCCGCCGGGACTTGAGAGAAGCCACCGACAAGACACAGGAGAGGAAGCTGCTGGAGTGCCCGAGCCCTGGCCCCGGGGAACCCCAAAGAGGAAGCATCTCCCCTCTTCCTGTTGAGGAGAAGGCCCTTCTTGGAAGTCCCGGATCACTGGGTGGAAAGTCGGGGCACCGCGGGGACAGCCAGTTCTGTTGTTGGAACCGAGGAGGGGCCGCTGGTCCCGCTGGCCGCACTTCCCGGACGCCGGGGCGGGACAAAGGCGGCCAAGAGAAGGCGAAGGCGGCCCTGGGCCTGGAACTCTCCCAGGAGGCGCATTTTGATCTGGATGCTGGCACTCCCCTCCCGGGGCGGCTGGAGCAGAAGCGACTGGGGAAGCTGTCCAGCCAGGGACACGTCCGTGGAAAGACGTCCCCACCAGCCTAAGACCACCAGAACCAATTCTACTCACAAACAAGAGACACGCCCTCCCGCCACCCTGGGGGCGACTGCCAGTCCCCTCGGGGCTATTTTTACATTTGGGGGGCCCTAGGTGAAACTGTCCCCCAGCACTGTTTCCCCAAAATTCAACACGACGCCTGAAGCAACTCCAGCTAGATCAGAGGACAATGGTCGCTTGAAAGAGCCAGCTACACCCAGTCACATTTCAGCACCTGATTCCAATACCGATCACTCACAGTTAGGGATCATCGGTTGCTGAAGCTTTTCGGGATAAATGAGAGAATTTAGAGCATCTCTGCTAAAAAGTGAACAAGAGAAGCAAGGCAAGGGTCCTAATATGTTGCGGGTCTTAGCACAAACCAAGTCGACCCCTGCATCGTATTTCCTGCTGGATCAGAGCTCATCCAGAAACAGCCCAGCATCCTGAGAACAGCAAACAGCATTTCCATTGGTTCCCCAGCATCCATCCTTGGCCAGGGGTTGGGGGCTTCTTGCCACTCGTCCCTCTGCAGTGACACCCCCAGTGATCATTCTAGCAGTGGCCGGGCCCAGTCCAGCTGGGGTCCCCGGGAGGCTGCGGGGAAGGAACTTCCTGGCGGTGAGGAGAGGGCGTGTCCAGGGGACACCCAGCCTCTCTGACAGCTGCAGGGAGCTGTGGGCAGCTGAGCCTCCCCAAGCTCGCTGCAGCTGGGGGGCTGAGAGGCAGGACGAGCCTGGACCTTCGGGGACCTACTTCTAGACTTCCTCTTCCAGGAGCTAGCACGCTTCCTGGTGGTATGAACAGATCTTACACGGCTACCCTCAAGCGTCCGACCTGACGCGCTCTGTTCCGCAGGGCTGCAGGAGAACACCATCCAGATCCCTTTAAACAAACTGATGCACACATCAGACTCATTTAAATAAACAGGTTTTACGGACAGTTCAACAGGAATGTTCTAATAACTCTCTTGAATCATTTCTGGGCATTCTCCCTTTAATATTTACCCAAGTAAAAGCAGTAATAAAACCATTTAGAAACACCAAACTCTCGCTCTCACACAAAAGTGCCGTTATACAGTAGCATTTACTTTTTAAAGGGCCAAAAACTGTAGCTTGTCAGACCCTTAAGTATCAGTCACATTCACACAATTCATCACAATCAAGAGCAGGAAAGTTGTTGAATGCTTTTTACGTGGTTCTGTTCCGCCTTTAAAAAAATCTTTGGGGTTTGCTGCCAACCGGCCTCGTTGAGGGCGCACCCGGGCGGGGGGAGGCGCTGCAGCCGTGGGGGGGTCCCAGCGCGTTTGTTTCAACCATTTGCGGCATTTCGACTCCACCGGGCTGCGTACACTGCTGCAGGACAAAGGAAGACGTCTCTAGTACGCAGTGATGTCAGCATCAACAGCGGACGGGCCAGGAGACAATAAAAGACCCAGGCGGACAACGCAAACTGGACCGACGAGGTCCTCCAAGATGGAAAAGGGCAAAGGGAGCGAGGAAGGAGCGGGCCACTCAAAACCCTTCACGGGAGGTCGCAAGCCCCGCCGGTGCGTAAACAGACCAACTTTGTGCAGACAGGACCTTGGAAATCAGAAAAGGCTCCCTACAGCCTGCACCCACTCCTTGCCCTTGGCCTTGCCCTTCTTGCCCGAGTCCAGCCCGCTCACTGCCACGGTGCCAAGAGGCCAGAAGTGCCACCGGCAGGCCTGCTGCAGCCAGGAACGTGTGTCACTTCCCACCTAAAATTAGTCACACCTGCGCGGCCACAGCTGGGTCGGGCCCCTCTATTTTAAGGTGAGCAGCTCCAAATTGCTTAAAAGCATGTAATTGCTTTTTTTAAAAAAGCATATAATTGCTGGTCAGTTTCTGAAGCTAAAAGTGCCACCTGATTTTCCACCGAGAATGGACATGTCACTTCCACAGGCCCCACACTCAATCAGCGCGTGATCCAGGGTCCGAGCACATGACCCAGTGAAGTGACACCCGCGACCTCTGTGGACACAGGTCGCACTCGACGCACTGAGAGGAAGACGCAGGACCGACAAAACCCACCCAAGTGTCCTCTTCTTTTCAGGAAGAACTGACAGCTGAGACCCTTCCAGAAGACGTCACAGGCTGTGTACCAGCCACCCCCTCCCCCGCCCCGCAAAAGTGATGGAAGGCCAGCAGAAGGGGCTGCACTGGAAACATCTCGAAGGAACTGGTGTGGCTCTCACTGCGCTGCCGGAGCCTTTGCACTGATGTTTTAAAAAATGAGCTAGAAATGCCCTGGCTGGCGTGGCTCAGTGGATTGAGCATGGGCCTGCGAACCAAAGGGTCACTGGTTCCATTCCCAGTCCAGGCACAGGCCTGGGTTGCAAGCCAGGTCCCCAGCAGGGGGCGCATGAGAGACAACCACACATTGATGTTTCTCTCCCTTTCTTTCTCCTTCCCTTCCCCTCTCTCTGAAAATAAATAAACTCTTTTTTAAAAATGAGCTAATTGCTGAAGACGAATGAAAGAGAATGAAAAGGCGAGGCCTTCCACCAAAACTTGAGCAACCAATGGTAAGGCCGGGCTGTAAATTGCACGCAGAGCACACACGTGAAAATTAAGTGCCACGATGACACCCGTGATTTCTGCAATCCCAGGGCCGAGCCCTGACCTCCGCCACGGGAACAGCGGTGCGGACAGACGCGGGCGCGTGAGGAACCGACAAAGCACACGTACCTTCGTCTTCAGAGGCGTGGCATCTCACGTTCAGCACCAAGTCAAAGGTTCTGTCTGGGTTTTCCCTGGACGAGAAAGAACTCCGTTACATTTATTTCCTAGGACACACATGAGCATTTCTATAAAGTCGCTAGCTTCATGACGCTAAAAATAAACGTGCTCTTGTCTCAGGAGACGCCATAGAACTATGTGACCGCAGCCCAGCAGAAATAAACATTTCTCCCCAGTTCAGCAACTGAGGACAGCGGAGGCTTGGGAGACCAGAGGCTTGGGGCGAAGCATCGCGCCTTGGAGCCTGCTTTTTCCCCTAGAAAGTGTCTTGTTCCCGTCCCAGCGTGCCTGAGAGGGTTCTAAATTAAATGATACGCCTGGAAGTCCTTTACGGAGAATTAAGTGGTGTATCCCTGCACAGCACCGGCCTTATCTTACTGCACGGAAACGACAGCCAGTGTCCCTACGTGCCTCCACCTTTCCTGCCCGCAGAGCCCGGCGGCAGGATCTGGGGCTTCCTTCCAAAGACCCGCCGTCCACGCGGAAACTGCGAGTAACCTGCCACCTTCCAGAGGACCAGGAAACCTCTACGAGGCTCCTTAAAGGGGGATGCTCTGCACCTGTTTTCCTTGGGATGCAATGACTCAACTCAGCACGTGTCAGGCAGCCCACTGTGCACAGCCAGGCCAACACAAAAAGCCTCGTGTTATGCTGGACGTCAGGGGTCTCTGGGGAAACGCGGCATCGGCCTCCACGTTGGGTTTCCCCACTCGGGACAGCGCGGCTGCCCCGCCTCCTTCAGAAACTATCAGGAGCCCTCAGCTCCTTCCCTGACTGCTCAGACTTTCAGCCTAGTCATGTGCTTGGTTTCAAACCGTGAATTGAAACCTATTGAGATGCTTAAAGAAAAACAAAAAAACAAAAAACCAGAGCTCTGTTTTCGTCTCTTTCTGCCCAAGATAAAAGATAAAGTCTGGCCCCACTATGTCCACGTGACCCAAGCTGTGTGTCCGTTTCTCCTGGCAAGGAGCCCTTCGTGCCTCTGCACAGGGGCTGTTGCTAACACACACTTCCTTCAAGCACCAACGCCGCTGTGGGCTTCTGCATAAACATTGGTTCTCTTTTTAAATTTTATTACAGGACAAGAATCCAGAAACAGGAAGTGGCAGGCCATATAAATTAATTCGCAGTTACCCATTTCCTCAGCCCTCCCACCACTAACTTGCCCCAGTGCTAACAATCGGACAGGTCACTGCCTCCCTCATAATCCACTCATGTCAAAGGCACACTCATGTCAAAGGTTTTTCAAACCACGGACCCCGCCCCCCTGCCCCCCTCCCTGGAGATGTCAAACACTGCAGGAAAATCATTCTCCATTACAGAATGTTCCTCTTTCCCTAATACTCCTTAGTATGTCTCTTAGGTGTAAAAATTAAATACCAAGGACCTGACACTGGGAAAGCTAAGAAGCCTTTCACAGTAATACACATAGACACGATATGCATTACTTTAACTTCCAGAGGGAAGTAAGAAAACAGGGGAAGGGAAGAAAGGAGGAATTCTTTGCCAAGTAAATTTCAGGATTAAAAAGAGAGAGAAAGAAAGAAGGCAGGAAGCAAACCCCACCCCCCACCCCGCACCCCCACTGATTCCAATCGCTCTGGACCTCGTGAACGGCCCGAAGGGGGGCGGGGGGGGGGGACACCAGGCTGCAGGCGCCGCTAGCCCGTGAAAATACTATCTAAGTGGATGGGGTGTGCGAGCCCCGCGCAGACCCGGGGGCGCCCGCCCGCAGGGCCGCCGGAGTCGGTGGCGGGGGGCCCTGCAGGGGGCACGCTCGGAGCCCCCGGGGCGCCCGCCCGCCTGCCGCTCGGTCCCGGACGCAGCCCGGACTCCGCAGCCCCAGGCGCGACGGCGGCGCTCGCCGGGGACGTGGCCAGGCCCGCGGCCTAGGGCCGCACTCACCGCGTCCTGCTGTCCATGGTCTCATGTCGCGCGTGCGCTCGGGGGTCGCGCGGGGCAGCGCTCAGGCGCCCCTGTCGCCGCCCGCCCGCCCGCGCGCCCGGCCGCGGCCTCTGTGACAGATGCGGGCGCGGCCCGTGTCCCCGCCGCCCGGGGCCTCGGTTCCTGCGCCGCCGCCGCCGCCGCCGCCGACCAGGAAGTGGGCGGGGCGAGGGCGGGGGCGGGGCGGGGCGGGCGGGCGCACCTGGGCACCTGACCGCGCGCGGCCCTCCGCCGCGCCCCCCCAACGCCGCCCCCGGCCCGCGGCCTCCGCCCGCTGCGGCGTCCGCGCGGGGCGCGGTCCCCGAGGCCCGGCGCCGCGGGCCGCCCCCGGGCGCGCCGGTTGGGGGCGTTTCCTGTCATTGCTGCGCCCCCCCACGCCCCCCACCCGCCCCGGCAGCCAGGCCCCCCGCAGCCCGCGCCTGGGGTCCGCGGTGTGACAGCCAGGGCCGCCCCCTCCTGTTCGCGCAACGTCCACCCGCGAGCACCTGCCAGATAGGCCACTGCGGAGTCGCAGACGCTCCTGCACACGCAGCACGCGCGAGGACTGAGCTGTGGACACACGGGGGCACGGGGCGTGGAAGGCACCCCCCACCCCGCGGGAGCCCGCCGGGGCCAGAGGCCTGGGGGAGGGGCTGCCCGTCTAGCGCGCGGGGGCGGGGGCGGGGGCGGTGGGGGAGGGGGGCAGGTGTGTGTGCACCGACTCGGGACGCGTCACAACTGCAGGGGACAGACCCTTGGACCCACGCCAGAGAGTGGGAGAGGCAGCAGCGAGCCAGCCCCGGGGCAACCGCAGGCAACCTCTGCCCCACAGGCCTGCCTCTGCCCCGCCTCGTCCGCAGGATCCTCGGGGAAGACCTGGAGGAAACGTCTCATAAAGAACCTTCCAGGGACGGCGCACGGCCGGGCACGGGCAGAGAGACACCTTCTGGAAGCTTCTGCCAGGAAGTGACCACCCCTGACGCGTGGCCTCCGTGCCGGGTCCGTGGGCTCCCAACAGGGGCGCTTCCCCTTTGATTCTTGCAAAAAGGTAAGAGGAGAGGAAACCGAATGTGGTCGGAAAAAAGGTGAAATCGTGTCACCTCCACGTCAAACGAGGGGCCTCGGGAATTCAGTTCAGAACTAGGCAGGGGAGCCTCAAGTGAAACTCCGTGACGCCCGGTTTAAACGGTCTCGCCGAGGGTGGGCGTCCCGCGGGCAACGCGGCCGGGAACAGGGCAAAGCCGCAGACCCGGGCCTCCGCGAGGACAGGACACGGCGAGGACAGAAATAAGCTGCTGCTTTAGCGGCCTGGGGTGTCAGGGCTTGGCCTGGCTGAGACTCTCCACTTCGGTTTCTCGGTTCCTGCATTTGGGAAACGGGAGCGATTACCTGCCCGCCTCACGGAGCACCGTGCTGTCCCAGCCTGCGAGGGCTGCACATTGTGACCTTTTCAGAACTCAGTCTGTGGATTTCAGTTTCACAATTAAGCAGACTGTACCACAGGCAATATTTTTTCCCCAAATAAAAGCCTTGTTTCTACCCCAAGAAGTTACCCTACTGCAAAACCTTGAAAAAAAAATTCTGTGAACTAAAAACCACTTCTGCTCCAAGTGTTACTAAATGCCTAGAACTTCTCCTTTCATTATAATTAACTGTCAACCCTAAAAAAGGAACCCTACCCGGGATGCCTGACTCGAGGTGCTTTTTCTTTGTGAGATGGAAATATCCCTACATACGTCTCCCCACCCATTCGATGGAACAGTTATACCCCTGCATACTATACAATTGTTTTTTTTTTTCCAATCAGCTTTAAGTCTATGAAGAGAAAATACTGCATGTGCACACACCAAGCAAATTTTTTTAAAACTAGCTTTTAAGCAAGTTTAAAAGCAAGAGATTCATTTATCTATTCCGACACTAGTCAGATAAAAGAGATGGACATGCAGACGGAGAACTTTGCACACCCTCGTCTCGGGGGTGTGGTTATTTAAACCAACGGTACAATGGTAGCGACACTGATCCCACTCAGAACCGGCGGCACGGCTGATGCGAACTCTGAAGCAGGCAACCCTGAGACCTGGGGCCGGGGCGTCCGAAGATCCCGATTCGGGGGTCCTTATTTCCTGCTTGACAAAGGACAGGGACACTCCACCAGGGCCACCGTGGTCGGAGAACGTGGTTGGCGCCGCTCTCCAAGTCTGTAAGTCGTTCATCTTTGAAGCTGTTTTGAGCTTTCCAACTGGTTGCGTATTTCTAAAGGACCGCAGGTAAGGTGTTCTCAAAGGGTGTCCTGGCCAAGTGCTGTGATGGCGTTGTTGACACCTTTCTATCACTGATGTTGCTGGCGCAATTCAGTTCACGGGAGAGGTGCGTTTAAAATCTCCTGGTTACGTCGGTGGATTCGTCTATCTCAACTTATAATTCTGTCCGTTTTTGCTTTATATGCTCTGGGGCGGTGTTACAAAATGCGAACCAGTCTGTGATTGTTCTGTCTGCCTGGTAAATGCATCATTATGTTGGGACTGTAAGGCCAGGAAGGCTTTAGCTTTTAAACAGGCTTCTTCTGATCGGTATCTGCCTAGCTGAGTATCTCTTTTCATCCTGTTACATTAACACTTTCTAAGACACTATGTTTCAGATCTATCTGCCAAATGTTAATTTTTACTTTCACTCTCCTCTGATAATCTTTGGCTCTTAATCAAGTATTTAGAACATCGAGTGTACCATAATGGCTGATAAATTTGAATGTATTTCTGCCTTGCAATGTTGTGCTTCCCATTGGTTTTGTCGATTTGTGGGGTTTTTTTTCTTTCACCATTGCCTTCTTTAGAATTGATTGATTTTTTGATGACTCTACTTCTTCCCCTTTCTATCTGAAGTGTTGTATTCTGTCCCTATTCATCTGGTGGCTATCCTGGAAATTTTACAGGCAAATCTTAACTGATCAAGTGTGGTTAATCGATACATCAGCCTTCTCCCAAACAGCACCGGGACCTTTAGGACACCCTTCCAAGCCCCCATGCATTGTTGATGACGTTGTTTTGGGCAGTCAGTGTTGGTTTAGGTTTACCCAGAGGCCCACCCCTTATTGTGCTTTCCTCTCTCATTTTCGTCGTGGGTGTCCTCTGGTCACTTCCCTTCTGCTGAAAATACACGCTAGAGGCGCTGACATCGTGTTTCATTTTCTGTTTGAGCGAGAATGTGTCTGTTTCCCCCTCATTCTGGACAAACGTTTTCACTGATGAAGAATTCTGGGCTGGCAATTATTCCTTCTGTGTGTATTTGATCTCTTTTTACACCATCTTCCAGCCTCCCTAAGGAAGCCTGAACTTTTTAAATCATCTTGAGATGTAATCTGTCTGAAAACTTTCAAGATTTGTCATTTGTCTTTAGCTTTCTATAGTTCCATGATGAAGTAGGTAGGTGATGGGTTTTTTTTTAAATGGTTTCTTTGGTTTTCTTGACTGCAGGCACGCAGCCAGCGGAGCCCCCCGCCCCCCAACCCAGCCAGGGCAGCGGCGAGGGCTTAGACGCCGCCTGCCCTGAGCTGCAGTCAGCACACACCCGAGTCAGGCACCTCCCGGCGTCTAACTCTGGGTTGCCTATTACTGTCCTTAGGTGAGATTCATTAATAGTCACAGTACCTTTGCTTGTGATGGAAGGAAAATTCTTTATATGAGGTATTTAACAAGTCAAAGTTCACGAAGGCTTTAGAAAGCTACCTTGAAGATATTTCATCAGGGCCTACCTGCCTTTTAGCAACAGCCCAGGTAGTGTGGTTTAGAAGGACACTCTCCAATTATATTATTTTTTTAACACCTAGCAGCAATATCGTGAATTTGAATCTAAAGGTAAAAGGTCCTTCACAATGAGGTATAGAACACTTTTAAAATGGAGAAGGCAGAGGAGAAGATTTCGGAGCAAAATCTTCCCTGAAGGTGTGCTCCTCTGAGCTGCTGTCACCTGTCACGGCTATAAAGTGAGCGTTCTCTGTTCGTCGGAAAGCCAGCTCCAAGAAGAAAAAAAGTCCTCCAGCTTGGAGGCAAAAGGGCGGAAATCATTCTTAACATCTTTATTACCAAATTGGAATATATCCAAATATTTACAAATTCAAGCAGGAAATGATATGTTTCCTTTGCTGCTAAACCCTTAGTGGAAAAGAGAGCAAGACTCTTGAAGACAACACAGCCAGGATGTCCTGTCCTCGCCCCACCCCACCCCCTTTTCGGGTGACTTTCCCAAACTTCTCGAATCAATTACTCTTACCTCTGAACAGCTTCTGCTGTTTTGCCTTCATCCCTGTTCGCCAGCCTGCCAGACATCGGAAAACTTAAAACAGTCCCCGGAGTGAAGAGAAAGGTCAGAAGCGGAGTATCACCGACCAGCTGTGATCAGACAAGCCCGATTTTCTTCCCAGATTCTTCGAGGGGCCTTGCTTGGGCCCCAAGAATCAGAGCGTGTGTGTGTGTGTGTGTGTGTGTGTGTGTGTGTGTGTGGCCCGGCGTCACGCCTGAGAAGGAATCTCCTAACCCCACCTACCAGGTGCTCCCGTAAACACGCCCGTCTTCATGGTGAGGCAACTCTGCTCACTCCCATTCAGCCCCCTCCGGAGCGTGAGTCACCGCATCCAACCGGAACGACCTCGGAATGTGCTGGAGGGACACGCAGGGGCAGCTAATGTCACCTGCACAGTCCCACTGCGGCAGTAACCCCTCCCAGCACACCCCATCCTGATACGGAGAAACCCTCAGACCACGTTTCTCCGCCGTCCTGAAGTGCGAGAAGCTAAGTGGACAGAGCATGACTCGCACTTACAGATCTGATCGGCTCCAGGGAGAAAAAGGAAAACTCGACTCGCAGCAGATCGAGCTCAGTCGAACACCGGCTCCACGGGCAGAATTCCTCGGCAGAAGGCCCTCAGGCCCTAAACAGAGATCCGAAATTCCGCAGTATTCGACCCCTCCCCCTTGCCTCACTGTTCCAGATAAGGACAGGGTTAGAATCCGTAAGGACGGAGCCCTCTCCTGGGCTTCCACCGCGGGGACGTCATCTTGTCATCTCGTCATCTGGTCTCCACCCTGGCTGCTGGCCTGGCAGACCTGTGTGCCTGGTGGGAACGGCCCTTCTGCTGGGAACCTCCTCGGGGAGGGCGGAGCAGCTCCAGGAGTCCGGGCAGGGTCTCAGTGCAGTGGGGACGGGCTTCCTTTGTGCAAAGGACTCCGTCCTCCCCGCCCATCTTGGTTCCCCGTGCGCAGCCCCGGTCTTCTCCCCCTGAGCCACCGGAGTCCACCCGTCCAGAGCGCCGAGCGTGGCTGGGGTGGGAGGAGGCCTCTGGATCCCTGACTCAGCCTCAGAGTCTGACTCAGTGGAACCCCTGTACCGTGTGGGCCGATGCCCCTTCCTGCACCCCACGACCTGGCTTGCTCCTGCCCTTCCCTCTGGGCTGGCCCGTGGGTGAGGTGACACCACGTGGCACTCGGATGTGCACTGTGCCTAGTAGCCACACTGCATTCTCACCCCGGTTGCTCCGGAACACCCACCGCCAGGTCCTCATTCCCCAGGGACGCCACCCAGGCCGCGAGCTTCCCAGGAGGACTTCCAACGAGGTATGAATTCTTAAGTCCCGCGTGCGGGGGTCCACGGGGAGAGGCCCACTCGTAGGAGGAGAAGGAAGGCTTCAATCAAGTGGCCTGCTGTGGGTCAGAAAGAGCTGACCCAGCAAGCCGGCCAGCCACGCAACGTCCAGCCTCTGAAAGCAGGAGGCAAGAAGTCCTAGCAGCTGACTCACGTTGTCACTCCATGCCGCCCACCCGTACGCACATACCAGAAAGACAGGCCTGACCACACTGGCATGGGGCCTTTGCATGGCTGCGATTCTTGTCCGGCGTCTTATGATTGTTTTTCAGTGGCTGGGTCCCTCAGAAGCCCTGTGACATGCAGTTTTTAGGTAGGTAGGGCAGGTGCCTTCCACGGCCAAGCAGGGAGCCAAGTTCGAGGGCACTCGGTCCTGGGAGTGCCCGCGTGGGAGAAGGCACTTTCTCCCGCAGGCCAGGGGCACTGGGAAACAGGGCTCAGCCTGCCACATACTACTGAGACATGTTTGTAAGATTTTATTTATTTTCTTTTTTTAGAGAGAGGAGAAGGGAGGGAGAAAGAAGGCGAGAGAAACATCGACGTGAGTAAGAAACATCAATTGTTTGCCTCTCACACATGCCCCAGCCTGGGACTGGCCCACATCCCACGCATGTGCCCTGCCCAGGAATTGAACCCATGACCTTTTGCTTTGAAGGATGATGCCTAACCAACCGAGCCACACTGGTCAGGGCTTACTGACACAGTTTTAAAAGCCATTTTCTCATAAAGCCTGTATCTTCTCTCTCTCTCTCTCTCTCTCTCTCTCTCTGCCTCCCTGTCTGTCTCTCTGTCTCTCTCTGTTTCAATTCAAAATTGTTTATTATCATGTGTCATCTCCCTCATGGACGTGTTTACATATCCAAATTACAATAGCATGAAATATTTGCGTAGTCATCCTTTCTTTAAAAGTCCCTTGTGCAAGCAGGATAAATAAAGGCATTTCTATACAACGAACTAAAAGACTCATTCCGTAAAACTAAACGGAACCAAGACTCGTTGCTGCCTGCTCCTTCTGCAGATAACAAAGGCTATCGTCGAAGGAAAGGAACTTTCCACGTGTGATCAGCGTGCAGTCAAGCCAGCCAGGTCTTCAGGGAAAACCAGGTCTGGAAACTGGGTTTCCTGGTTCTCAGGGATGAAAAGGCCAAACCGAAGAGCGGTTCTCTATGATCCCTCAACACAGAGCCTGCATTATGCTGCTTCGGCAGTTCACTGTATCGTGTTGCTCGCTTACATCTCTGTGGTGTGAGTCTCTATTAACATACAATGCTTAACCCTTTACACTAAAATTGTGTATGAGGGGGAATTATGTCAAAGGACAAGTCTTAATGCGAGACGGGGGCCTGGAATAAAAAAGAGGCCCGTGAGGACCAGCTGTCTCCACGGGGAAGGAGCGTGGTGGAGGAAGTGGGTGCTGGGGGCAGCTGCCCGGATGCACTTGAACTGGCGACCGTCTTAGTGATGGGCTTAGTCGCTGGACCCCTGAGCTGAGCTTCCAACCCCCTCATGTCCGTCCATGTGCCTCTCTGGGCTGCTTCCTCCAGTGCCAGGCTCCACTGTCCCCTGCTGCTCAGCGGCCACTGTCCTGTCTCCTCCTTTCCCTCTCCCTGCGAATGAGCAAAGCCCCCAGTGACGCTGTCCCCTGGGGTTGAGCTCCCTCGCCATCTCCTGCACCCACTCACCTCTGCCCAAGGACTCAGGGTGTCTCGGCCCCCAGACTGACCTGGCTGGAACGCCCGGTACCGATTCCCTGGCTGGTTGTAAAGGCGGGCCCTGCTCTGGGGGAGCTCACCTGCCTGGACTAAACTACCGTCGTTTCTGTCCCTGGAGACCTCACAGCCGCTGCCCCTGCGGAGGGTGGCTAGCCCAGTAAGCCAGCTAGTGGGGCCCAACAGTGTGTCTGCCATAGGATCTCCGATCGTAGTGGGGGGCAAGCAGAAACCAGGCAGAACGAGGAGGGGGCGTGGTGGGTAGGGGAGAGGGGGGCGGGGCCCACAGGCCTCCCTGAGGCACAGACTCGTGGCCTGCAGGTGGGAAGAGACCGGGCCGCCGCTGAGTGAAGATCTAGGGCATGAAGCCCCCTGGCCTGGAGGACAGGTGACATGAAGGCCCGGAGGCTGGGACACGTGTGGAGGCCCATTGGGGGAGAGCGGGGTGGCGGGCCAGGGCTGCAGGAGGGAGAGGCAGGGGCCGGCCTGGGGGGGGGTCTCTGCAGACGTGGGGGGGACTGTGTTTCATTCTCCTTGCTGTGGGGAGCCACCGGGGGGACCCACGAATGGCAGCCAAGCCGAGGGTTAGGGAAAGGCCTTCGTGGTGATGCCGCCACCGCCGCCGTAACCCAGGAGACGCAGTAACAGTCCGGTCGCCAGCCACAGTGGAGATGATAAGACGTTCTCACATTTCAAGTGCTTGTAGCTCTCAGGTGTTGGGCCACTGGGTGAGGCCCGGAGGGGACCCTGGGAGGGGTGGGGTGGGCTGAGGAAGGAACCGGAAGAGCCACTTTGGGCCTCCAAAGGCTGAGCTGCGGTGCCCCCACAGGCCCGGGTGTGGCCAGCGCCGCAGTTGCTGCAGGGGAGTCCGAGTCCCCTCGGTCCTATGAACCCAGGCGATTTCAGAACAACCAGGCAGACGGCGCAGGTCTGGGCGCCGGGCCTGCAGCCCACCTGCGAGAGCTGCTGGCGGCCGGCCTTCCCTTAGACTCCTCGGGCTCCAGCTCCTCGCCTTCTGCAAGGGTTCACCGCCCCAGAGCCCCTCCGTGAGAGCGGGAAGTGGAGTCCCATGTCTCCGGCGGTGTGCACCGAGGCGTCTGGAACGCCCGCGAGGAAAGCACGCTCGTGCTCCCCCAAGCGAAGAGCGGAGCTGTGTCCTGGCGCTCCCCAGGGAGGGGCTGGCAGGAGGGCGTTCCCCGCCCACCTCCCCTGGCGGGAGCGACCTGGCCACATCACCAGGCCGGACAGGGTCTGCACACCCCGTGGGGTCACTGTCAAGGGACCCCGTCATACCCCAAACTCAGGCCGGAAGTCCAGCGAACACGCGGCGGAAGGCCCCCCGCCCCCCCGTCTCGGGCACCCCCGCTTGCAGTCCGCTCCCGCAGGATGCCCCAAGTAGACCCAGCTCAGTCCCCAGCTCAGGCCTCTGCCCTGGGCAGTCTGTCACTCTCTTGCAGGTGCCAGTTGGTCTGTCAGGACTGAGCATCTGCATTCAGTCGGTTTGTCGGGCACAGAATCAAGTTCAAGTGGCTGGTTGTTTGGAAACACCACGTGCAAAGCTACCGGATAGGAAGGCCCATGAGAATGAGGCTCACGTCCTCCAGGGGAGGGGGTAGCACTGCTTCCATCGTGGCGATGTCACGGTGGCTGCCCCCACCTTTCCGTGAAGGGGTGCGAAGCCCCAGCATGAAATGAGGCAGGGATGAAATGTCAAGAGGGCTCTCAGGGCAGGTTTCACTGTCTCCACATCACCTCTCACGACAGTGTTGCCCGGCGACCCTCTCGGCAAAGGGCGCCGCGTGAATTCCCTCGTGTCTCCCAGACTTCATTGCTTTGGAACCCGGACACCCACAGGCCCGGCCCTCGCAGGCCCCCATTCCCGGCGTCCCTGCTGTTCCGGAGCAGCCCGACGGCACCAGCCAGGACGCTTGAGAAGAAAGACTGTGGCCGAGAAAGAGGGGGTTGTCACGAGAGGCCAGGAGTGACAGTTCGCATCTGAGACGGCGTGCGCTGCTACCTTCAGGGACGGCTGTCACCCACGCCGCAGTGGCACACACATGGGGGGAGCCGCAGGACGCCTCTTGGGAGGCGAGGGTTTCATTCGGTGGTTTGCAGGCTGTAGATTTCTCCCTTATTTCTTGTTTCTTTTCAGGAGGCAGAACAGTAAGGGTCAGCCTCCACTTACCGCCGCGCCCAGGGTAATTTTCAGGCGCGCTCCCGTACGGTAAAATATGTCACACATTTGCGCGGTGAGCTGTGTGGTCTTTGTGGCTGCTGTTGCTTGTGGCTGAGCAGAGAAAGGGACAGAAGGAAAAAGGAAAATCACACATGGTTTTTTTTTTGTGTCGTCCTCACAGCCACAGCGTGAGGTTAGGTTCTTCCTCCTCTCATCGGTTGGACTCGAAGATAACTCCCCCAGAGTGACACCAGTGGGCCCCAAACCCCGATCTTTCCGGACCCTAAGCACCGCCACACAGGATTTTACCGGGCAAAGCTCAGACCGAACCAGCCAGTAGTCAGACTGAAGAAGCCAAAGTCCAGGAATGAATTCCCCAAGCTCCTAACACCTGGCCAGCACTCCGAATTTGACACCCGTGTCTCAGACAGGGGACCGACCCCCAGCTTCCCCCCGCCGACCTCTGATCCCGCCAGCCATCCTCGGCACACCTGTTCCAGGTCCGGAGCACACACCCTTGGCTGGCTTCCCCACAGCGGTGCCAGCTGGCACTGTCCCCACAGCCCGGGAGACAGGAGCGCTCCTGGGCCCCTCCCACGGCTGGGCGCAGCGGCCTGGACCTGCTGGCGCAGCGGCCTGGGAGCCCCTCCCCTCCTACCCGCCGGGGGGGGGGGGGGCGGTGACCCGCCCAGACCCTGCGGCCTTCATCCCAGCGCCTCCCGCCGGCTCCGGTCCGCAGGAAGGTCTCCGCTGGGGCTTCCACGAGGCTTTTAGCTGCTTCCCAGATGTTTAATATTTAACTGCTCTTTGCTGTTTTTGCCTGTCATACCTTAAGCACGTCCAGCTAGAAGTACCTCAAGGGCAAGAACTCTGATGTGGGCTTTGGCGGGGAGGGAGGGGGGCTGTCAACAACACCCCGTGATTCGGGGGCCACTTGGTGTTCGGTAAGCTCACTGATTGATTGCTGCCGTGCGGGGACCACCCCCAGATAAAGAAGGGGAAATGGTTGAAGCATCTGTCGTTGTCATTCTAGAAGCCCGGAGGTCTGGATTTGCCTGTTTTCGGGATGGGTTCGTCCGTAAAACTTTATTGTTTCCATAAGATTCTGATAGAGAAAACATGTTTGGCTCCATATATAAAATTATGATGGAAAGAATAAAAAAAAGGTAAAAAAGGAAATGAAAACACTGAGCGAACGTTGATATTAACTGAGTAAGACAGTTTACGTGAAACAGTTCGAGTGGCCTAGGCTAGGAGTCCCTGGCAAAGCGCTGCATCACTCTGACAATGCGAGGGGGGGGCAAGCAGCAGGTTTCTCCCAGAATGCTCTGCACCTACCAGACTCTCCTGCCCCGCCCCCCCGCCCCCCCAGTTTTCCCAGGCTAGCTATTTCATTCATTCACCTAGTCAACGGATACTTTTGAGTGCCCTTTTCCCCTAACTTGAAACATAGTAATGCATGATATGCCCAAAATGTTGCATTTGTTCTTCCCTTTTCAATAGTAAAATGGCTACACAAGAACCCACCAATTGTGGTAAGTTTTTTGAACATGCACACTGAGCCCTGGCTGGTGCGGCTCAGTGGACTGAGCACCGGCCTGTGAACCGAAGGGTCGCCGGTTCGACTCTCGGTCGGGGCACCTGCCCGGGCTGCGGGCTGAGAGGCAGCCCATTGATGTTTCTCTCACACGGTGAGGTTCTTCTGCCTCTCTTTCTGTCTCTCTTCCACTCTCTCTAAAAATAAACTAATAAAACAAGAAAAAGATACAATGCATGCTGACATGACAGCGGTCACAGTACAATCTAGCAAAACTGTTTTGAGTGAAGTTAAAGGCAACAAAGCACGACCAGAGCCATCGAACGGGAAAAACCAAACGACGTTTTTGGCCAACCCGCCCTTCGCCTGACTGTCCTCCCGTCAACATCCCAGGCCCCGCTACGTAATTCACGAGGACGCATGTGGGCGCAGCCTCCCCCCCGAGCCTCTCGGAAAGGGGCGAGCACAGACGCGGGTGGGAAGACTTCCTCCTCGTAGCTCTTTGCCGCGTCCTTAAGAGCAGGGACTTCCTCTTCTTGCAGCTCGCCACATCAGTCAGTCTGACACTCGGCTGTGCCGCCGCCGCTCCGCGCCGGCCCGCAGACGCCAGGCCCGTCCGCCAGTTCCGCTCCAGGGCGTGCGGGTGTGAGAGCAGCCACTGAGAGACGCCCAATTCTCAGGCTGGGACTCGGATCCTTCGGCCACGGACCCAGAGGCACCCAGGAGCCCGAGGAAACAGCACCCCTCCCGTCAGCACCCAGGGCAGCGCAAGTCGGTAAAAGTGCTCAGAGCGTCAGCACGACGCACCTGGCTGGAAGTCCAGGCGTAGTTGGTGGCTGTGCCGCCCTGTAGGATGACAGAGCAGGCGGGGACCCCGATCCCACAACGCGGGGAGAAGGGAGTGGGCAGTAAGGAGGGTGTCCCGTGGAGTTGGTGCCTGGAGGGGAGCGGCCGCCTTTGGCTGCAGAAAAGGAGTCGGTCAGGAGGAGGGGGGCTGCTGGAGGAAAGGCTGCCGGGAGGAGCCGGGGGGAGCAGCCCGGGCTCTCTCTGGCCTCCCTTCCCGAGGTGTCCCGGGGCTGCTGCTGTGGTCGGAGTCACTGCACAGCCGAGGGCCAGAGGCCGAGCTGGTGTGGCCTGTCCTCGCCCGTCCCCCCCACCCCCGCAACCCCGGGGCCCACGACCGAGGGAGGAAGGCGGACACGTGGTCTGAAGGAGCAGAAGGGGACGCTTAGCCCCCGGTGCCGTCCGTGTTTTTAAACACGTTGCACGGCCTCTTGTCCTTTCAGAGTAAGAGTGTAACCCAACTCCATCCTGCCGAAGGGCTTACAGTTGGACCTGCAAACGAGCACACCCCAGCAGGGGCTGCACGGCCTGGTGGGCTCACTTCCCTGGACCCCTCTGGGCCTGGCACAGGGGCGGGCTCTCACGGGCAGTGAGGGGGAGAACACCCACCGTGCTGGCGCGCTGACTCACATTCCAGTTCTCCGGCCACTTGTTCTGAGCCGCGTCCTTCCCCTTCCTGCGGCCTCCTCTCCCACGCGCTTCATCGGGACCACCCTGCCGTCCCCCGTCCGTCCCACCGGCCTGCCCTCCCCTCCGGCCCTGCTGGGCAGCAAGGAGCTCCCTGGGCGTTACACTGCCTCCCCAGCCCGGTGGCTCACGCTCAGGGCCCGTCTGCTCGGTAGGGACGGTAGGTACTCGCTGCAACGCTCCCTGTGCGTCACTGAAGGAAGGGCGCCGCACTTCTCCTCCGCCTCTCGCTTAACCAGGACGAGAAGGGGACACGCGGGACACTGTCGTTCGAACGGAGAAGAAAGGGCCCCGACACAGACCTCCGCTCCCTCCGTGGAACCCACGGCAAGGATTGCAGGGAGGGAGGGGGCGCCACGCACTCACACCCCCAGGAGAAGATAGGCCAGCCCCCACAAGAAGAGGTCTCCTTGCACAGGGAGAAGGGAATGGACTCTGCAGTCCAGAGACGGCGGGAACCTGGGTCCCAAAGGTGCCGATCGATCCCCGAGACACCATGGCGGGCCGACAAAGGAATTCGAGGCTGTGGGCACCTCCGGAAGCTTGCAGGTCAGACTGGGGGCCTGAGGACCGTTGGAGAGTCTCTTAGGGGCAGATCTGAACCCCGAGCTCCCCCTCCCTGTGCAGCAAAGGAAGCCCACCTCCCCAAACAGAAGGCATGCTGCCTCTCCGGAGCAGATGAACCAGAGGGGCCGTCAGGTTCACGGGCGTCAGGCACAACCGATGCGCTGGGGACAGGGGCAGGGGAGAGACCCCCGCAGGGACGGGAGGATTAAAAACAGCGGGTGTGCTGCCCTCGCCAGCTCCCTTCCCCCCGACACCAGCAGCCGGGGTGCACGACCTCCAAGGAGGAAAAGGGACGAGTTTTCTCTAGCAGAACTGACAGGTTCAAGAGAAAAGAACTGCGGACACTGACTCTTGGAGCCCACACCATGGCCTCACGGTCAAGTCCACCAGCGGACAAGCTCCTCGTGGGCACATGGAATTCGTAATCAGCGTTGTTAGTGTCTCACTGTTTAAAGTAATAATAATAATAACCAGCAGAAAGACTGGAAGAAAAAGTCGGAAAAAAAGATTTCTAATTAGCATAAAGAGCCAGAAATGGACAGAGAAAGGGGACCAGAAAACTAGAATAATGAGTCAGGACACCCAGGATCTCAAGGAGCGGGCAAAGAAGTGGAGAGACGATGCCACCAAAGAGACAGTAAAAGGAAGTTTTCTGGGACAAAAGGTCGTGAGGTTCAACACGGAAAAGGCCTCTCCCAATTCATGGAGCAGAAAGAGACTCGTGTCACACTATTGTGACACTTCGGGACACCAGGCTTAATGGAAAGAGCCCAAGAGCTTTCAGGGACCAGGAAACAAACAAAAAAAAAGAACCCAAATCACAAAAAAAATGGACAGCATCCTCCCCCCAGTATCCTTGGAAACTGGAAGACAATGGGGGAATAAAAGGCCTTCAAAACTCGAAGGAAGTGATTCCCGATCTAAAATTCTACGCACAACCAAAGTAGCAGCCTGGTGGGAGGAGAGAATAAAAACATTTTCAAAACGCGAGGCCTTAAGGGTTCACCCCTCGTACGCCCTTTTCCAGAACGCTACTAGAGCATGCGCCCACTGAAATGAAGAAGTCGGCCAAGCAAGGGGAAGGGGCGGAACCAGGAAGGGGGGACAGAGGGAGGAAGGGCACAGGACTGTCCAGGGTGACGGCGAGCAGAAATGACAAAGACAGCCAGGCGGCGGGCGCAGGGAACAGAGGGTCCGCGGATGACATCGGTCTCACCGAGTAACTAGTGTGGGTGACCACGCCCGGAGGAGAGTCCCTTTTAGGGTTGGGTTGGGGGGATGATTGGCGCAGAAAGGACGGAGGTAAAGCTGTGAGACCACTGTGCACACTGGGAGAAAGACGAAGGCCGTGAAACAAAACACCGTCGCGGGAAGTGACGTGGCCCAGCTGTGAGCAGTCACGACTCTGTGCGATGTCCCCCGAGATGGGGACCCGCGTGCTGGGAGCTCGTCCGGGAGCCTTCTCCAGGGCAGAGGTGAGGCCGGAGTGGAGTCTAGAGACCCCTCAGCCCCGCCGCCCCCCTGGGAGACCTCGGACGCCGCCGGCTCTTCAAGGACCTGTGCCCGGAGTCCGGACAGCGGGGCTAGGGACTTGCACTAGGTATGTGGACATCACCGGAGGTAGCCGCCCCGGGAAGGGGCTGCGACGCTGGCCTTTCTCGCCAGCAGAGACAGCTCCCGCAGACGGCGGACCGCTGCGGAGGGCCTGGGGACAGGGTCCCCCTCACACCATCCGCCGTCGGGAACACCGACGAAAGGAAAACCCGGAGACGCCGGATGAAGCGTAGTTTCCGGGCTCCGGTAAATGTCACAAGATAAAACAGTTGAACAAGGGGGGCGGCAAAACCCCGCCCCTTCTAGGCCCGAAAGGGTGAACACCAACTCATCCAGACTCAGGGGAGACAGACTGGAGAGGGCAGTGACCTTCACAAGGGGACTCGGCGGCTCACGGCGAGGGGACAGGGGAAAGGCCAGGGCCGTCAGTACCCAGCTCCTCCGGCAGCCTCCTGGAGGGGACTCTCAACCCCCAAAGTCCACAGTGGGCGGGGGAGGGAACCCATGATAGCCCCTCCTCCCTGTGCAGACGGCCGGGGAGGAAGGCTGGCCAGTGGCGTGAGGGGCAGATGGAAGAATCCAGAATTCTGATAAGGGACCTCCGTGCCCACGTAGCTTCCACTGTGAGTCACTCACGCAAGTCTCACCACCGAGTTTCTCCAGCTGAGCTGTGTGTCTCCACACGTGACCATTTTCCCGGGGGTACTCGGGTCGGGGGGTTGGAGGAAAACCCACGTGCAGGTTTTCGGTTCCCAGGACATTGTGAGGGCGCACGAAGTTGAATCTACTTGCCCTTGACCGAGAAAAACAGGCTGCTGTGCCCCAGTAGGAAGTGAGTGAGCCGTGGGGGGGTGGGGGGGGACGTCAGCAGTGCATCTGCAACCGCGAGGAGCAGAGCAGCCGGCAGCTGCCGGGCCTGCAGGTGGGGCGCTGGCCCACAGGGGCGTGGGGGAGGTGACTCTGGCCCGGGGACACTTACACCGCGAGTGCTGAGTCTGTGAGGACCATCCAAGGGTTTCATCTGGGCCAGAAGACACTCCGGTAACCCCTAAAACTCTCCAAAGGCCTTTGGGGCGTTAATTAGCTTCTGTCTAGGCAAGGGGACCCCTTGCAGACAGAGGTGAGAAACCACACAGAGGAAACCACACATCAGCCTCCCCACCAACCCTGGTGTCTTCGTTCCCTAGCAACGCGCCCTAGCAACAGAGGACCCTGACTTTTGCGCCAGCAGCTGGAAACCAGCTCTGGGTGGGGCGCTGCCTCCCCCACACCACCTCCTTGTGAGAGGGTTCGGCTCCGTTAAATCTGGGCATCCCCTCCCCTCTCCCGGCGCTGTGACTGATCCGTCCCTTGTTTGGGGCTATTATTTCTCTGTTTGGCTTTTGAAGAGATACCGTTCTGTATGTATTGGCTTGTGAAATTATTCTAATTCCCACAGCAAACTAAACTGTGCTAAATAACTCGCTGGCAAAGACCAAATCAGCCTCCGAGTGTGACTGGGCTGCCTCCCGAAAAACGAAAACAAAAAACCGTGGCCTGGCTGACGGAGCGAGAACCGTGGTTTGTGGCAGGGGTCCCAGGCCACGGGAGGCCTGAGTCCGAATCGGAAAGGAGGCGCAGAGCTGGGCCCCTGAAGCAGTCCTGGGACAGGGAGGCTCCCGCGGGGGCTCCGGAGCTGGTGCTCATGGGAGTAACGTGGAAAGTGGGGGTGCGTGATGGCGGTGAGCCCTGGTTCACCAACTGCATGAGAACAATGGTTACCGCTTGCTGGGTGCTTCCTCGGTGCCAGGCCCTGAGCACCTCACGTGTCTTCCCTTGGCGACACTTAGCATCTTACCACTTGGTGCTCCCGCTTAGCACTCAGTGTCTCCCGGCGACACTTAGGTAGATGCCGTGCAACCGCCCCGTGCCGCGTGCGGGGAGACGGTGCGGATAAGGCGAGCGGCTCACCCGGCGTGAAAGGGGCCCCGGTTCGGGGGGCCGGAATTCCAGCTCGGGCGCGTGCAGTCTGAGGCCCGGCCTCGTGTCAGCTGTTAGCCAGCTCCTTGCACCTTCCCGGCCGCCCTCTGAGGCAGGAGAACTGAAACTTAAAAAAGCGAAGTAATTGTCTCAGGGTCTCACGGCCAAGTCGGAGGTCAGGGTGTAGTTGCTGAGCTCACAGGGAAGTAATCACCCGCTGTGATGTGGCCTCCCCTCTAACCCACCGGCCTGAATGAATTTCGGGCGGTGACGAGGGGTCGCCAGTGCACCCGCAGGTCCAGCTTCCTCGCCCGGGTGTCGCCCAGGCAGTAAAGAGGCTGGTGGGCATCCTTGCCGTGGGCTGCAGGGGAAGCCAGAACCGGCAGGGCCCGAGTCCCTGGCCTGGGAATCCAGATGCCGAATTTTAATTGATCAGTTTCACATTTTATCTTCTTCATTTGGACACGGTTCTTCAATATGTAACCTTCTTTTGAATCTTTTTTTAAAGATTTTATTTATTTATTTTTAGAGAGAGGGAAGGGAGGGAGAAAGAGAGAGAGAGAGAGAGAAAGAGAGGGAGAGAAACATCAATGTGCGGTTGCTGGGGGACATGGCCTGCAACCCAGGCATGTGCCCTGACTGGGAATCGAACCTGCGATGCTTTGGTTCGCAGCCCACGCTCAATCCACTGAGCTACGCCAGCCAGGGCACATTTTTTTGAATCTTGATTCTCCTTTCCATCCTACTAACCTGTTCCTTCAGGTTTTGACCTTCTGAACTTCAGGTTGGTCGGAATTTGCATTTGCATTTTTAAAAAAAAAAAACAACAAACTCTCCCCCAAAGCTAGTATTTTCACTGACATTTCTACAAAAGCACTGTCAGCCGCTCGAAGTTCATGTGGAAGAGGCACTCTTTCTCCAATGTTTCTCTTCCAACTTTGTCTCTCCCTCTCTTTCCACGTGGGCTCTTCTCTCTCCCCGCCCCCACCCCTTCATGCTGCCGTCTCCCCGCCACACAGAGCTGTCCCCGAAGCCACAACCAGCCAGAGTCAGACCACTGCGTTTCCGGCTCTGCTTCTGACTAACACCACTTCCCCAGGGAAGGCACTTCCTCCTTTTCTGTGTTGGTCTCTGGGCCTTCCAGATGACTGCACTAACACCAGCTCTCCGAACTGTGCCAATGACTGCCTCACCTGCGGGCCGGCGTGGTCACTCACAGAGGCAGGTCGACAGGTGTGTCACTGGGAGCCTCCTGGGCTGCCCCTGGCGTCTGTCACTTCCCGTTCCAGCCCGGCCCCGGGCAAAAAAAGTTGTCGGACTGGCTGTGCGGTGTCCAAACAAAGCTCCATTCAGTCATCCTGCCAGATGCCTTTTGTTTTTTTCCACATCAAAATGTGCACAAAATTGAATTAAATGTATTTCAATTAAATCCCTTGCCCAATAGCACTTGACTCATTGCTTCATGTGCCAAGACTCTTTTTTAAAAAAAAATCTCAGCCAAAGAATTGAAGTTTTGAGTAAGAAACCAAAGAGGTATGCAAAAAAGAAAGGAAGAAAGGAAAGAAAGAAAGAAAGAAAGAAAGAAAGAAAGAAAGAAAGAAAGAAAGAGAAAAAAGAGGAAAAAATTGCATGAATTCATTACAGTTTATGTACACCAAGAGACAAACTACATTTGAGTCCCTGAAATATTTTTTCTGTCTGTCCTCAAGGTAAAGCATATGTTGCAAGAAACTTTTTTTTTCCTCTGACAAAAAGATTGCTCTCAGTTCTCTGATAGGCACGAGGACTAAAACAGGAACGGGAGAACTTAAGTTTTGGCTTTTTTTTCTTTCCAGTTTCTCAATTAGCCAGAGAGCGCGTGTTCGGACTCAGCCACCATTTACTGACCCTTCGACGTGCAGGCCCAGCATTCAGGACCCACGGCAGCGAGAGGGGGCCCCGCTGCGGGGAGAAGCCGACCTCTGCCCCGGTATTCCCCCTCGACACGTGTACCCCAGCTCCCTCGCCGGCTCGTGCTGACACAATGACCCTCCTACTGTGCCCCCCGCGGGCTGTGCGCCTCCCGAGGGCAGGGCCCGTGTGTGGGCCCATGTGTGGGTCTGTGTGTGCCGGGTTCGTTCTCGAAGCCAGCATCCGCCCCAGGCCCCAGGACAGGGCTGGGCCCACAGTCAGCAGGGCCGGAGTCAGTGAGTTAACAAAACAGCATGAAATAAAAACCCAGCCTCAGCGGTTAGGGAACTGGGTCTCTAAGTCCAAGATGGGTCCCCAGTCTTAAGTTATTGCCACTGAGGTTCACCCCCTGCTTTTCAGAGGTGCAGTGAGAGGGCACAAGAATACACACACACACACACACACACACGGAGGCAAGAAACAACATCCCTGCATAGACAACATGAGAAACGGATCTTGTATCCCATCCATTTGTCCCCACTCCAGGTCACAATCAAGTCACTTTTAGACTGTGGATGAGAAATCGCTGATTTCTGCGGGAGAGAGAGCCAGGAGCTCAACCTGCAGCCCGCTGGCCGCGTGCAGCCCAGGACGGCTACGAACGCGGCCCCACACACAATCATACATTTACTGAAAACCTGTTTTTTTTAGCCCTGGCTGGCGTAGCTCAGTGCACTGAGCGCGGGCTGTGAACCAAAGTGTCACAGGTTCGATTCCCAGTCAGGGCACTTGCCTGGGTTGCAGGCCATGACCCCCAGCAACCGCACACTGATGTTTCTCTCTCTCTCTCTCTCTGTTTCTCCCTTCCTTCCCTCTCTAAAAATAAATAAATAAAATCTTTTAAAAAAACTGTTTTTCGCTCATTGGTTTTCATTAGTGTTTGTGTATTTCGTGTGTTGGCCAAGACAACTCTTCTTCCTCCAGCGTGGCCCAGAGATGCCAAAAGGTCGGACACCCTGCTGTAGAAAGAGCTGGAATTATTCAGGTTTTCTCTCGTACGCACCCCAAAGGATCGAGTCAATAAAATGCAAGTTTGCACTTGTCACTTGCCTCACTTTTCTACTTAGGAGGTTCCAGGTTAGTCTGAGTTGCTATACCAACCTACCCTTGAAAAACAGAAACGTTTAGACTGTACACATTACTTGATTCTAAGTGTATTATGTTTTTTTATGTTAAAGCATGCCACAGAAATACATTTACAATATTCTTTCTTCAAAACAAAAATCTCCGTAGTGAGAAAAAAAGTTTAACGTTTTATTAAGTAGCATAAGTGAAGTCCGATGTTGTTTCACAGCACAGAGTCCATCAGAGTCACTAGGGAAGAAACATCATTAAAACGTCTCGCCCCTGGAGTCAGAGACGAACACCCAGAGGAAAGCAACGCTGTGGAGGAGTCTGGAGGGAAGAAACCCCCACCGCTCTGTCTGGGGTTGAGCTTCGGAAGTATCTCCTTCCCTCACTGCAGGCGTCGCCAAACCAGAGGCCGTGTTCCCAGAACTGCATGTCCCTGGGACTGTCTGCTCCAGCTGCTGTGTGGCTCCGACGGCGCTCCGTTCCAAATCTCCGTGTCTGCTCCCTGCGGCTCTCCCCGGTGACCGCCAAGGAGGGCGGCGTGGGTGCCACGGGCTGGGGGGCGGGAGCAGGCAGAGAGATGAAATCGTCTTAGCTCTGAGAGGCTGGTGTGACCTGCGTTCTTCAGGCTGACACGGGCATTGAGACAAGCTGCGAGACCCCGGCCTCCCGGCCTCTGCTTCTCCTCCGTGCAGGGGGGACAGGCCGCTTCCCAGGAACCCCTGTGCCTTCTGCCCGCACGGGCGGCCCATCCTGCGCCCTAAACCGCTGTCCTCCTGGGCAAGCCCCCTTCCAAAACCCGCCGCATTCGGTGGCGAGTAATACATCACACGCTGGCCTCTGCCATCGCCCGGGCATGACTGTGCGGATCTTGGGCTGTTTTCTGAAAGCAGGAGATTTGTGGTGACAAAGGCTTGGCCCAGTTTTCTGTATGGTTTGCCAGATTTTGAATTTTAACGGCCGGGTGTCCGTTTCTCCGAGCTGCAGTGTCACGATGTGCTGTCTCGTGGCCACTAACTAATCATTTCATGTCGTTTGTTATGATCCTGGCAGCCTCCCGCGGCCTCCCACGGCCTCCCACGGAGACTCCTAGGCAGCACCCGACTTTTCAGAGGGTCTTTGAGAGCTGAGTGCTGAGAAACGAAATGTTCGCCGACCTCTGCTCCCTCTCCTTCCAGGGCCGCTGCCCTCAGCCCGGGCACATGTACCCACGTGCTTTTCTCGTGGTCCTGCAGCTCTGGCTCTGGCCCCATCCGTGAGCCACGGGCGGGGCCCTTGTCCTGCTCCTGCTCACGCCTTCCTCTCCTGCCCCGCCCCTCCGCTGGCCGCTGCGGCTCCGGCCACCCCTCGTGCATCGGCCACCCCTTGTGCATCCGCCACCCCTTGTGCATCGGCCACCCGCAGATCCGTTCTGTCACCGCCGATGGGGCTTTGTTCGCATTGTTTTGTGTCTCCCCTCACTCAGCACCTTCGTTTATAAAACGAGAAGGACAATGGATTGCTACGAGGATTATTGCACGTAAGCAAAATGCACAGATCGAGTTACGTACAAAATGGGTTCCTTCCACTCCCTGCACCCCCATCATTTAATTCTTTATGTGGCTAAATCCCGACACTCCAACAAAATCCCCCAATGGGTAGGGCAGCGCACACATTTCTCCTGCGCCTCCCAAAAGCCTGCTCTGCGCCGAGGCACCCGGGGCGGGAGGGGAAGGAAGGACGCCCTCCCGTAGAAACAGACCTGCCGGCGGCGGACAGGTGAGTGGACCGTGGTCCAAGCCCGTGGACCCTGGGCCGTGAGTGCCCACTGCCAGCAGTCGCCGTCAGTCCCACCGTGGGGCCGAGACGGCTTGGCCGAGACTCTGCAGCCACACTGCGCGCCGGGGTCCACGCTGCCTCTGCCCCCGACCAGCCGAGGGCCCCTGGGCACGGCTCTGCTGCAAGGCCTCCCTCTGCCATGCGGTCAGGGTGACAATGTTCCTGCCGGCAGCAACGGTGATGATGGTGAGGACGGGTACGCCGTATTAAATAAGTGTGCACAGGCCAAGTGTGCAGATGCCGTATTAAATAAGTGTGCACACGCCGAGTGTGCAGATGCTGTATTAAATAAGCGTGCACAGGCCAAGTGTGCAGACGCCGTATTAAATAAGCGTGCACACGCCGAGTGTGCAGATGCCGTGTCGGCGCCTGCTGCTGTGAGCGTCGCACCGCCGCCGCCGTTGTGGATAAGAGGAGGCCGCTGGGCGGGTCGTGAAAGAAGATGTCACAGCAGGAAGGGGTCCAGCTCGAATTCAGAGAGGCCTGCCTCCAGGAGGCCTTGCTTCTCCCAGCGGAGGTCTCCTGGTCTGCCTTCTAATGCGGACCGGGAGGCTGGTCCTCATACGCTGCGAGGGCGGCCGCATTAAACACAAACACTGAGTATAAGGCGCGCACCAGGGGCTGGTACAAGGAAGCCCTTGAGAGTGGAGCCAGCAGTGCCCCGACGGTCTCCATCACGGGGCTGCCTCACCGAACCTCCCACAAAAGGGGCCATTCTTTTCCTTGCCACCAAGGAAGAGGAAAGAAATATTGCCAATGACGGAATGCTGGGCCATCGCCGTGAGATATATTCAGTTTTCAGATAAAGATGAGAAAAGGGTGTTTCTTAAAACAGACGAGAAACACCCGTTTGGCTGAGTGAGGGGTCGGGAGATGGCCCCCTGCTGTGGGGGCACGAGGTCGGGGAGGTGGGGGTGTGTGGAGGGTCGAAGGGCGGGCTCTGGGCTGGTCAGGGGCTTCGGCTGTGAAATGTGAGGTTCCAAGCTTTGGGGGGGAGTGGGGGGGTAAGAGAGTGCACCCCTGTAACCCTGACCTGCGCTGCAGAAGCTGCTGCCAACACGCACCTCTACTGAGTCTCCGCTTTCTTCCCCAAATATCTGGTCACAGCAGTTTCAGCAAAAGGCACCCCCCACCTTAAATGGTTCCACTGAGTGTCTGTGAAATGGTTTTATTGTTGCCTCATCTCGGGCTTCCCCCCTTTACATTCCAAACTAGCCCAAACACAAATTGCATCATTTTCTCAGCCTTCCCGAGTTTGTTTTTCTCTTTCTTTTGAACCACGGCTGCCAAGATTTTTATCCCATTTCCTCCGACTGACCCTGAGAAACGTGTCTCCTTTGTCTGCTCTCTCTCCGCTTCTGGGGCCCGAGAGAATACATCGGGTTCCTGGGGCTTGGCCAGAGGCGGGACGGGTCTGCGTGGGGAGCAGCGAGCGAGTCCTCGTCTCTGGAAAGACTGCACCCCGGGGCCGCGGCCTGACAGGCTGCACATCAAACCTTCCTGTGTCCTCCCCGCAGCCCCGCTCCGGATCAGCCCCCTTTTGAAGGTTGACTGAGATGAGTTAGGGTGTCTCTTCTAACTCAGGCCCAGGGGGTGCGGGGGTGTGACAATTTACACACACGACTAAAAACTTTGCAACGCCGGCTGCTAAATCATCACTATCGCCGAGTTTAGTCTAGCGCCACCAGCCCCATCAGACACATATTTCTCTCTGTCACAGGGGATTTGGGGCCAGCCTCTCTCGCGGCCTCCGAACACAGCCGTTTCCTCTTCATTCCTGCACATTCATCACTCGGCATTAATCTAAGTAGCTGTTTAAATTTGTGTCTTGTTTTACTGCCAGGCAGGGCCGAGAAGTCCTTCCCGCCCCTGGCTCTAGACACGTGGTGCTCGTCTTCCCGCTGCGGGGGACGGGGGGGGGGGGGGGGGGGGGATCTCAGAGCCCGACTGTGGGTGGTAGAGGAAACCGCTGCTGCTGGTCCTGCTCACACGCCTGCGCTGTCCCCTGCCGGCGGGGACACCGCCTGTGTGCACAGGGCGCCGCAGCGGACCGGACCAGCGCCAGGAGGAATTTCCCTACTGACACAACAGACGCGTCTGCGACCCGTCTTGAAATCAGGGGAGAGACACCCCGTGTCACCCCAAATGGATGGTTTCTCCCCCCGCCCACCCACCAGTAAGTCCAGAGGGAAGTTTTCTGGATGTAGCAACGCCATGCCCTGAAACGGAAACACAGAGAGCGTTCCAACGCGGCTGGTTTGACTGAAAGGAGTTAAGGCAGAAAGCCGGCAGCTGACCGGAACCCCCTGAACGAGTGGCGCCTGCCCCCTTCTTGCTCGTGGCCCCATCCCGGCAGCAGAGGCGAGTGCACTGGTGCCCGAGTCTCCTGCTGCCTCAGAGCAAGGTCTGCAAGTGTGTGTGCGTCCTCACCACGTGCCTGCTTCCCCGAGGAGGGTGGACGGCCCAGCTCCCAGCACTGCCACCAACCTCGTGGTCAGTAATGCTTATTGTTACTTCACTCATACAGAAGTAGAATAAGTTTGTTATAACTTATAACACACTCAAAGAAAAATCACACAGAAGCACACAGGGAAATTTCAGCCAATACCCCGCCAGCCAAAGACAGCCACTCTGACCATTCCAGCAAATGCTTGCTTTTAGAGCCTCGTCTGAATTCAGTGTTCAGGATTCCCAACTCAGGGGAGCTGGACACAGGCCGTACCATAACATACTCAGTCACCCCAACAAAAATGTGGCAGAGTCACACCGCAGAACGTTTTAACTAGCGAAGGAAAATCGCCGTGTGAGTCACGATGGAAAGAGTGGCTCCGGCGGTCCCCGGGAAGAGGTGCACCTGGGG